CCGAGTGAAACGGGTTCAAATATCGGGTCTCGCAACTCTGATATTTTTATGTGCGAATTATTTCCAACATAATAACCTAACCTTTGTCTAAAGGTGAAGGAAAATATCGTAAAGAAACCTGCACGTCTGAGAGAATTTAACAAGTTTTCGTAAGATACGTATGTGGAGTCTGCCAACCCGCACTTGCCTAGCGTGGTGGACTATGGCCTGATCCCCTTGTATTGGAGGAAGGCCCGTAACCAGCAGTGGGACGTTAAAAAGGGCTGAATACTACTATACTACTACTACATTTACATAAACTTAGAAACTTATAGGAGATATACGAGTATTATTTGTTACACCAGGGTTTCATCGAACTTACCGACCACCACGTAAACTTTGAGAACCACAAGATCGGAGACAAGAAATGCACGTCCTCATTACACATTCCGCGCTCGTCTATACAATATTTATGTCACTCAGAGTTTTTTAGCCGACGTTGCCTAGTGCCGCGTACGGGTGACCACTCGCTCAAGCCGCAGACCACCGAGCGGGATTCTGAACTCTACATTTACTATAATAGAGGTCACATATTAGCATGGGAATGTGCGTATGTGTAAGTCAAACAAATACTATGGTACGCTGGTGCTACGTGACCCAACTCGCTGAGTATGGAAGCATTTTCAGTAACAATGAGGCGTCCGCCGCCGGTGCGCGGCTCTAGAAAGAAAAGCACTGCGACGTCTTTGCCCTGTCGCTGTCTAATGCCTTTGTCTCTTTGAATTGTTGTAGCTTACAAATTTAATGCGACAAAATTCCTGCAGTTTATAATTTAAGAATTTTATTTACCTATTATACATACAATTCAATCAGAGAACTATCCTTTCATAACAAATATACCATAACTTTAATGTACTACATTGTTGTAAAGGTGCCTTTACATGTAAGAGAGACACGTCATAGAACACTCGCTTAATAATGTCAAACATTCGCGTAAATCTAAGAAAATATTACTCGCTTATTTGCCACAGTGGATCCCCTTATTAATAGATAGTACCTGGGCGACCGAGCTTCGCTCGGAGTTTTTGGCCAATAGTACAATTCTCTGATTTTTTAACTAAAAACTTGAATAAATACAAAAAATAAAATAAAAAAAAACTTTGAATATGACTGGGATTTGAACCCGGACACCTATGATAATCATCCTTGGCCGCTTTACCACGAGGCTATGCCTGAAAATACGATATTAGCGACCATATTTTGCGTACGTAAGAAAACCGCATGAAAACTCGAAAACACGCGTTTTTGAGACAAGACTAATCTAGATCGATTTATCGCCCCCAAAACCGCCTGCATGCTCAATTTCATGAAAATCGTTGGAGCCGTTTCAGAGATTTTTATATATACTCGTATATATATATATATACTTATGCAAATGAGCAAGCCGATGCAAAAAAAATCTAATATATTTCGATACGTAAAACAAATATTTACCTATTAGATATTCATATCTTAAAATATTGTCGGCTGACACCGACTTCGAAAATATTTGATTAGGTATCTATTCTATATGAAAACCCCCGTTTAGTTATTTTTTGCATTTTAGTGCCTGGAAGTCGGTTATATTTTTTTTAAGTTTTTATTTGTCTGTTTTTAGTGTAGACGCACCTAATAAGCAGATAATTTGTTAGAAAAAGTTTTTTAATAACATATTTGATTAAGCAATTTGTTTAAAAAAAAATTATTTGTTGATTTAATAAAAACGGCTCGACCGATTTCGATAAAATTTATATGGGACCACCTGGGAAGTATACCCTTTGAAACAAAAAAAAATTCCAAATCGGTTCAGGCGTCTTCGAGTAATCAGTGAACATACATATAAAAAGATTAAAAAAAAGATTTCGACGAATTGAGAACCTCCTCCTTTTTTGATAAGTCGGTTAGTAAGAGTTATTGTGTACAAGCAAATAATTTGTGAAACCTTGTGTATTTATGTGACACAAAGTATTGTATTTGTTCCTAGTCCGTTTCATGACACTCACTGTCCTATTCAATGCTTCCTGTGTCATGAAACGGACATTAGTGAGTTGAAAGAAATATAATTATATTTCGTTGAATAAATTTCATTCTCTTAAAATATTGTGTAATACTAATAGTATATTACCTATAGATTTCTTAAGGACAGTTAACAAGTTTCTAAGTTTTTAAGTAAAGTATGTAATAATACTCCAAAGTTAAACGTCCGTTTCATAGCGGATCTCCACTAAATACCTCTTACGCTTCTTTCAAGTCGTATATTAAATAACTAAATCCTACTAATTAACTGTTGAAATGTCGTGTTTTTAATGAATTAAAAAATAATAAATGTTAATAAAATATGAATAGTAAAAAATGAATAGTAGAAATCACACAGCTGGCGACATGTTTAAGTTATAATAATTCAGTAATAAGAGAGACGTCTAACTTTCTTTAACATTAATATAGATATACCTATTTGTATTGAAAAAAAGCACTTCGGTCTCATTTCTTGTATAATTTTATGAATAAGATCTTCGATGTTCCTATAACGTTAACGAAGTAACGTTAAAAGGATTTATACAATTCTAACATAATTAAAAAAAAGACAAGATACATTGTGAGATTAATCTATATCTACTAATATTAAAAAGAGGTAAAGTTTGCAAGTTTGTAGATAATCTCTAAAACCACTGATCCAAATTTGAAAATTCGTTTACTAATAGGAAGCTATTTTAAATAATCTTTTCGAAAAGATAGTTTTATTTTTCTTATCTTTGATAATTATCATGATATTCATCATGATAAGTATAGGTTGATAATTATCTTTGATAAATGGATGCACATATGCAATACTGTGTCAAGCCACACGACTGCCATTTTGAGAAAATTGAGTATAAAGTTTTTATACCTCAATATAGTGAATTTGATAGAAATCCAAGGATTTCTATTGATATAAATGATTATTTTAGATATGCATACGTTTCTTTGTCTATTTTAATGTAAAATACTTTAAAATATCTTGTAATAATAATAAAAAATTAAGATAATTGTTTTGCCAAATTCTTTATAACTAATTGTAAATAATAAAATATTTTAAGACACATAAATCTTTATTGCAAATATCAATATAATCTTTTGTTTGTTATATTGTAAGAATTCAAATGTTTTAACGCATTATTGAAAAAAACTGAATACTTTGATATTCTAGAAATTGGTAATAAGTAGCATAATATAGTATTGAAAAACCTAACACGCCTTCTAAGAGAAAAGTCAGTCACAGTCAACTTCTGCGAATAACTCACGATTATCAGGATATAAAACAGGTAAGCAGTTCCACGTCAAAACCAATATCCTTCTTTTGATTTTTTGCACCTTTGCTGATGTTCACAGTTTTAGCATCATCCGAAAGTTTAGATTTCATGTATAACATTGTTGTCTCATTTTTCTCTAATTCTATTTCAAACGTGTTCATCCAAGAATATTTTATTTTATTTATATCGCATTTTCTATTTCCTATTATTCTATTATTGATCATTTTTTGAATCGAATTCAATGGACCAGAAATTATCTTTTGTTAGCTTAGTAATATCAAATTTATTTTTAACCGACTTTCAAAAAGGAGGAGGTTCTCAATTCGTCGGAATCTTTTTTTGTTAATGTATGTTCACCGATTACTCGAAGACGCCTGAACCGATTTGGAAATATATATTTTTTTTATTCAAAGGGTACTTCCCAGGTGGTCCCATATAATTTTTTATCGAAATCGGTTGAGCGATTTAAAAAAAATTAATAATAATTTTTGTTTTAAATAAATTGTTTAATCGAATATGTTATGAAAAAACTTTCTTCTTACAAATTACCTACTTATTACGTCTACACTAAAAATGGAAAAATAATAACTTTAAAAAAATTAAAACCGTCTTCCAGGCACTAAAATGTAAAAAATTACTAAACGGGGGTTTTCATTTAGAATAAATACCTACCTAATCAAATATTTTCGAAGTCGGTGCCAGCCGACATTATTTTAAGATATGAAAAAAATATTTTAGATTTGCTTTGCATCGACTGGCACCGATTTCGAAAGTATCTGATTGGCTAGCTATAATATTTTTGTAATTTTTTTTTATTTAAGTATGTTATATTTTTCTTTAATGACCAAAAAAGTGTAGACGTAATTTTGGAAGAAGAATTTTTTTAATAACATATTCGATTGAACAATTTATTTAAAAATATATTTATTGTTGATTTTTAAAAACCGCTCGATCGATTTCGATAAAATTTATTTGGGACCACCTGGGAAGTGAAACACACCCTTTGAAACGAAAACAAAAATCCAAATCGGTTCAGACGTCTTTGAGTAATCGGTGAACATATATAAAAAAAAGATTTCGACGAATTGAGAACCTCCTCCATTTTGGAATTGGAAGTCGGTTAAAATGTCATCATGTCGTATCTTCTATACATATAATAAAATTGTAACTAAGACGAATCTGTACATTAAATATTTTTTGGAAAATCTTATTGAAATAGACATTATTATCGATACAGAGGCCGAATCTATAGTTTTTATATTTTTTGTTTGCCTGTCTGTCTTTCTGTCTGTCTGTCTGTCTGTCTGTTACCGCATCACAGAAAAACCACTGGAGGGATTTTGATGAAATTTGGTACAGTGATAGCTGGTTATCCGGGTCAACATATAGGATACTTTTTACCGCGGGAAAATATCTCATTTCTGAGAAAAAATTCAAAAACTGCAATGTAAGAGTATACTAATCTAAAACCTAAGAATTTGGTTTTTGGTCATCTGAACGCGGGCGGAGCCGCGGGCAAATTATATTATAATAATTCATTTTAGAAACATTTTTGAGATTAAATAATAGCAACTCAATGACGTATCGATATATGTTATTTAATTAATATTTACACTCAATTAGCTAGCTACATATACCTAACTAAGCCCCAGCCCGATAGCAAGATGAAGACTGACCTTAAACAGTCAATCAGGAGACTGCAGGCTGAGTGTCGTGGGCGAGCCATCTAGCGTAAAAACAAAGCATCTCGTACGCACATGACGTCACCTCACATTTGTGTGAGATGACATGGACGCCCAGCCCGGGCGGGCCTCCCGCGCCGCCCGCGCCCTGGGGACGCGCGACCGGGCTGACAGGAATGTATGGGGCGGCAAAGGTCAAGCTATGGTGGGCGCGGACACAATAAGTGAAGTGTACTGCAAGTGCCATTGTTTTTCACGTGCCACGTTTTTTCATATCGTCGCCATCGTCCAATAGAGGCCGCGCGCCGCTCTCATTGGGCGAGCGCGCGAGGGCGGGGCTCGCGAAATCTTCGCGCCTTTTCGCAATACTCCACGATACTTGAATGCTTTCCATTTTGAAAAGCATTCCTTTAGATGCAATTACTACCCTTTTAAAATAAACGGTGAGTTGACAAGCGTTTAAAAAAGTTATGATCGGGCGGTCGCGGCACCGCGCCGCCCGCAGCCCGCGTGCTCGTCTAACTTATTAATTACTTTATCATTTGTTTTTATTCACGAATTCCCTAACTTTAATATTTTAATATAAATAAAATAAATATAGAGTTAAAATAGTATTTTTTTTTTATTTTAAATCTCTTTGTTGAATGATATTGATTGACTTTTACAACTAATATTTTTTTATATTATTATTTATATTATGCCACACATTAAATATTATTTATAATAAATATACTTTGGTACAAAGTTTATTAGTTGTTGATTTTTTTGTCATAAGAATGTTTCTTTCATTTTTAACTGATTTAGAAAATGTGAGAGAGGACTGGTATTTGAAATAAATACCATATTTCGTTTTAGTCGATTCGATCTTATTTACAATTTGCACTCTACATATATGCTTGGAACTAATAAATCTAATTGACTTAGTAGAAAGACTTAAAATTAGTTTTACACACTATCCCAAATTACACAAAAAATGAGGCACCTAACCTAAAGCTAAAGTTTTCACATTCAAATTATGTTATATAATATATTTATTAATCTTTTAATTAGGTACGAAAAAACTTCAGTTCGAGAAAAAAGTGGTGAAAAAAAAACTCTACTAATTAATTATTTTTTCATATTTTTTTGTAAACAAATTATAAATTACAGTAAATCTACATTAATAGTATTGAAGTAGCCTGGAGGCGGTCACATTGTTCCTCAGGCGTAATATCTTTTTTAAATCATTTATTGTAAGTATAGGTAATACCTTTAGCAGCAGCAAGAATAGATGAATACGTGCATACATATATGCAAGTAAGTAATATTCAGTATGTCGTTTGTTATATACTTACCTGTCATAAGGAAATATGAAAACTTTAAGTACCTACCTACACAAAAAAATGCAAATATTAGTTATATATTTTATATTTGCCATAACGTATTTCAATAGTAGGTATAATATTATATATTTTACCAAATATACATGTTTCTTAACTAGATATGGATAGGTGGGTAGGTCGAAATATTAGTAGTAGAGCCAGCCAGCTACCAAAATGGAGGCTACTGATACTTTACATAGTTAATCTTTGAGATAGTACCTACTTCCATAGTAATCCAAATTAATCCCAGCAAGGCTCTATCTACTGCACTAATAATAATTTAACTTGACAAATCCATTAAAAGTACCTATATAAGCTCAAATTTGTATTGTACATATATTTTAACAATAAGTTATGCGATGTTTTTCTTTAAATTAGGACATGTTAAATTTAACTTATGCATACCTATAATTGAGATTATCTAGGTTCCTCTAACACGCAAGATAGAATGACCTGATAACTCTCTCCACTTACCCTACGTTTAAGACGAGGTGGCTCAACATTAGACTGTTTCAGGCAATACTTTTATTGATAAATAAAAAAATCTGATAAATTCAAATCTCATCGATGGTTTCATAGCACCAAGCATCAAATTTGATTAGGGGTTGAATGAAAAATAAAACATTCATCGCTCTACGATATTCAATTCATTGATAGATATAATTTTGTAATTTATAATAGCTATTTCTTAAAGTTTCTGTCAAAAAACTAAGTTAATTTTGTTGAAATGGAACCGAAAACATATGTCAAAAACTTTTCAATAGCTCAAGACAAAGACAATTATAAGTAAAAATATTTTAGTTCTATTATATACTATTTTTAATTTTACTAAATTTAAAATGTTTTATTAAAGAGACTTTTAGAAACATTCATCTGATTTTGAAAGACAGATACTCTCCACTCTGTTTATGTTTACTCAATAGTTACTTATGTCATCTATTAAGTATTACATTTAATTTGGCTACAGTATTGTCGAGTGATACTAATGAAACGCATATCTTCCAAATTTCAACTTCATAGTAGGTACTAAAAGTCTCCACTTGAAAGCGTTTTGACAAATGGAAAAATGAACAAGACCAATTTTCTTTTTAACTAAAAACGAATAAAATTGCTAAAAAATATTATTTCTCTAAGACGTAAGTGTTTAATGTACGTCTCCACAGTAAGTGTTCAATTTATGTCTCTAATTTAATTTGTTCAAGAATAAAATTCACACCCCTGGCTCTCTATTGCAAATACTTTCTGCGAAAAAACACAATTATTACATCATATAGTTAGGATTGAAACAAGGAAGGTTGACGTCAGTCAGGCGGCCGGTCGTAAAACTTTTGCCAAATCCTATCAGCAGTACAGAAGATGTACTGCGCCGACCCCAAGTGATTGGGAAATGGGCAGGGATAAGTGGTCTGCCTAGCGCTTAGGCAGACCTGCCGCCGGGGCGCCGTAGTAGTTATGCGCAAGCGATCCTGCGGCGTCCCATTAAGGCGGAGGGGAGGGGAATGTCGGGTTTTAGTGGGTAGTACCGGCTCTTCTTGCCGGTGAGCCCCACATCACCACCTGGGGGATCAGGTGGTATGCGTAAATGCATTTCCCGACATAAAAAAAAAAAAAAGGATAAGTTAGGATTGAAACAATATTTATTTATATGGAACTTTATTATTTATATTCGACCCAGCTATATTGTTGCATCCTGTGCAGTATAAAATTCATACACTCCTATTTATGTCAATTGCGTAAACGCAAAAATCTCAATGATTTTGTTATGACGTTGATTGATTGATGATTTCCTGGAGCCATTAAAGCTATACGCGCGTATCGCTCTAATCATTAGCAGCTCTACATTCCAGCACCATACATGGATCACAATTATAGGTCTCTTAACAGAATTAATCTGTTAGGAATTAAACAAAGTGGATATCTTTTCAAATATTACGATCAAATATTGTGATGTTGTTCACAGCCTCCTAGGCAAATACAGGAATTTATTGTTAAATTGGTATTATTGTATATTATATAAGTCCAGAGTGCGAGTGGACCGACTTGTATAAGTAAACAGAAACTATCGTTTTATAGTAAACTATCGCCTCGCCCTCGCTCCGCTCGGGATCGTCTCTACTAACGTTTTCACGTATACTAAAGTATAGATTTCTCAGAGATGAGACATTTTCTCGCAGTAAAAAGTATCCTATATATTGACCCGGATAACCAGCTATCGTCATGCCAAATTTTATCAAAACGCTCTAGTGGTTTTTCCGTGATGCGATCACAGACAGACAAACAAAAATTCCAAAAATTATAGATTCGGCGTCTGTTTCGATAATAATGTCTATTTCAATAAGATTTCCCAAAAAATATTTAATGTACAAATTCGGCTTGGTTTCAATTTTATTATATGTACTTATGTATCGATAGATATTTGACAAAATTATTTTTTTTCTTCAATAGCCTAAATCTAAATCCTAGGTAGCTACTGTTACTATTTCTTGAAAAAATTAACGATTTGTATACATATGTCTTAGACCAAAGTATGTACAAGGTACGTAGGTATATAAAAAGAAAATACATAAACATTACTATTATATTTCATACATATAGATAATATACTATAAATTCTAATGTTTACTTGTTTGTTGTTGCAAATGTTTTTAAATTAGGTGTTTTTCTTGGATATAGAACAAATTATATTGCAAAAATATAGGAACGACAAGTGTAGTCCTTATAGCATTTTATATGTAAATATATAGCCTAACTAAATATTTCCTTACGTATTTTGTTTATCAAAATCCTCTTACTTGTTAACAAAACTAGAAAGCTGTACAAGGAGTACTTTATATAGTTTAAATGTACCCAATGTTCAGTCTCAAACAACATTTAGAAGCCAATTATTAAGATCAAATAAGACAGTTAAAAATCGATCATCGAAAATCGATTAATCGATAGAATATGAAATTCGACTTAACAATAGGCTGGTGAAATTTTTGCAAAATACATTTGAACCTTCAAAGAAGGCTGCTATATGTATATATAAGTAATCCCCGAGACGGATGGTGGGAAACTCTGTGCAGGGAGTCTTTATCGGATGTATTCCGTCCTTTAAGGCACACGTGAAAGACATTAGGGAGATAAGCGAACATGACAGCAAGTGTCGTGAGGAAGGCGTCGCCTCGACTACTTGGGTGTTCTGATAGCTTGGGAAATTGAAGGCTCATGAGAATCATATACTCATCATTCATCCTCTTGGGTTTTATCAACAAATCATAGAACTCATAATAGAATTCGAAATATATGTAACCTGAATTCGATTAAGTTAAATAAAGCAGTTTAAATACATTACTTTTTCTTTTGTTAAGAGAGAATTTCACTTTTTACCATAGGTCTTGCTTTCAAGTTTTACTTAGTGATCATGGATCTTGCGTTGTATTGTGTGGTGGTGGTACCTATAAATAAAACGCTTCGTTTTTTTTGCGTTTTTTTAAGTTCCCGATATTTTGGATGTTTTAAAATAATCAGTCTCTCCCCTGACCACGATTGCTCTAAAGGATTCAAACCGTTTGGAACCAAAAATTAAAATAAATCCGCGAAAAAATCAGAAAAGAGAGTTTAATTTAATAAATCAAACTTGAGTAAATAATACATATTTTGTTTTGTTAACCTTATAAAACTAGTGCCTAAGTAATTCCAGGTATTTCACCATTCCGGGGCAAAATTTAAGTCACCTTCCATATGTGTATTTAAAATAATAAAACAAGTGCCTCCTTTAATGAGCTAAGAATATTGAAAGTATTTTGTATCTGCAATGATAACATTTAAAGATAAAATCATGTTAATTTTTAGAATTTGAAGTGTTCACTTTTTGTATAAAATACCGCACCGAAGTCTGGCGCTCGTCGCTCGCGCATTCACCGCGTGGCTAACGACAAGTAATGTGAATCGAATTAAACCATATAGGTGGGCGGTGTGTCACGGGCCACAGCGGACACTAAATGTTTACAAAATTTAGACTACTTAAACATTTCTAATCCAGGTAATTTAG